TCTACACCCTGGAGTTGGTGAAATAAGAGAAACCTCTAAAGATTCATCCAAAAGCAGCACAGGGCAGATAGAGGTCAGCCCACGCCTCAGCCTTTATATTTTACTCAGAATTTTCCCTCCCTCAGATCCCTCAGATCATCCAGACAGAAGGTTATTAGAATGACTCTGCAGAAATCCCTCACATCGAGACAGATGCATGACAGTGGGGAGGAAAAACTCCCTTTGAACAGGAAGAAACCTCCAGCAGAACCAGGCTCAGTGTGAGCGGCCATCTGCTGAGGCCCACTGGGGTTCAAGGAGACAGAAGCAGACATAGAAAAGGAAGCATAGATACAAAAGGCAACTGTAAAAACTGGCGCTGTCCAGCAGATTTAGTTTTTTTTTACCATTTTAATAAAGCTAACATATTAGCTAACAGATATGTAACAAGCATTGGCCAAGCAAGCTTTTGGGTGTCTAGTAATGTAATTTTTTTAGTTAATGATAAGCATAGCCTGTACAAACAGCTGAATATGAAAAACTAAAAAAAGGAAATTATTCAAAATTCTTGTTAAAAGCAACATAAATCTGATCTGATGCCGGTTACCTAAACTGAGCTGCTGAAAATAAACTAAAAACAGCAAAAGACTCAAAACTCTTTAGCTAGTGGGAACGATTAGCCACCTTAAAGTATTTTGCTAAAATAACAAGTTTTATGTCCATGTTTTAAGAATCAGAAACCAGAAAATCTACTAATAATCTGAAGATTATTGCGAACTGAACGTCTTACACTGTAACTGGAGACCAAATGTTAGCTTTCAATAAGCTAAAATCTGAAGCTTTAAAATATATAAAAAAAAAAAACAAGGACTAAAATGCGTAATGAAATATCCAAAGATATTCAGTTAATCTTTACACCGGAACAAACACGTTTTTTTAAAAGCAAACTAAGTTTCTAGGTGATAAAATGCAATGCTATGAAGTACTGAACATCAAGTAACACAAAGTTAAATATAAACAATGTTTTAACTGAAAGTAAACAATAGGCCCAGATTGAAGCAGAAACTTTTCCATCCCTGAAACCGTCAAAGGTAATCGGGAAAAATTTACACCTTTGGTTCGAACCTCCAAAACACTTTATGGATATTTAAAGATCGAAATATCAGAAATCCTTTAGCTAAAGTGAAAAATTAAACAATAAAAGTTTTTAAGTGATGAAAAACAGTAAACATTATAAACGCAAATGTTAGCAACAAAGAGCAGCTAGCAGAAACTAAAGCAACTACAAAATACAGAAAAAAAACCTAAACAAATATTTAAAAAGGTCTTAGCTAACAACTGATTATTATAGACTCTTTAGCTAAAAAGAAAAAGGAAATATTTAAAACTCCTTTTAAAGCAATATATATATATATATATATATATATATATATATATATATATATATATATAAAACCTTTCAGTTGACAATAATAACTGCATATTTTAATATTCATAATACTAATTATAATACTATTTAGCTAACAAGGACAATGAAGATCCAAACCAATTAATATGGAGCAGGAAATTTAAACCAGTAAACAGTCACATCTTTTCTGCTAGCATAAGCAAAATACCATCAGAAACAAAACACAGACAATTGAACATCCACAACTTTTTAACTCATATTAAACAGTAAATATTGATTAACTGAAAATTTAGCTAACACGAACAAACTGACTTCTGAAACCTTTTAGCTAACAAAGGTACCATCGAAAACTCTGCGCCAATAAAGATCGATAGCTAACGGAGAAAGGTTAGCATCCAAAACTCTGCGCTAATAAAGAAGGATAGCTAACGGAGAAAGGTTAGCATCC